GTACTTCTCATAATTTTTCAGAAAATACATGTTGACTGTAGCTTCACAGTGGTAGTTTATGACTCATTTAAAGCAATTAATAATTAAATTGCAACTATTTTAGCTATAATTTATGTAATGTAGTAATTAACTATTATATTTCTCATGCCTGTTATCAATTCACTAAAAAATACTTGTTCATTCTTTATTCAGTAGTTGTGTTCATAAGTGCGATAAGTAAGTAAGCAATTATGGTTGTAATTATAAGCATTAAGTATTGGCCATGCTCAATTTAAAATTAAAAAGTACGCCTGGTCCCATTTTGCGAGAACTTTAGTACCGAATTTCAGTTTTTAGTTGAAACATTACATAATTAATAAAATAAATCAGTTTCTTCTTCAAAATTGTTTAATGTTATTCATAACTCGAAGTTTTTTAAAAGCATTCATAAAGATAAATGAAAATATTTAATATTTATTATTGGAAAATAAATGGTTGTTATTTAAGTATTTTGACATTATTCTCTCAAATTAGAAAATCTAATTATAAGCTTAAAGCAAAAAAGAAAAATACTCATGTGTTAATTAAGTAATAAAAAAACTAATTTCAAAACCTAAATAGCTTTTTAATGCATCATTATCAATTAAAATAGAAACAAAATTTTTAATTTACCAAAGATCGGCATTAACTTTAGAGAATAAAAATTACTTTAATTAAATTATCTAATTGGAATTTCTCATTCAAGTCGGCTTGTAAATAAATATGTTAATTAACAAATAATTCATGTTTTATTAATTGCTAAAAAATTGAAGTTAAAATGTAAATTCCATTAATTTTGTTCTGATAGGCGAAACACATGCTATTAATTAGATAATTTGTAAATTAATGTTATTTTGTGAAATAAGAATTATGATGAATTGTTTGAGCAAGAATTTCGTTTCTTTTAAAATTAATTAATTTATTTTTCAATTTTAAAGTTGGTAGTTTTCCATCAACAAAAGACCAGTTCTAATCATAATATACTTTAAGAAAATTGTACGAAATAGGAAAATTAACAATTTGCATTGTCCAAAATCATAACACATAGGTTAAATTAGAAATAGTATATGAGATAACTCAAATGCACTAATATTAACTAAACTAATTTTTTAAAAAAAATTGTAAGAAAATACCAATTTTTCTGGTATAAAATTAAATATACTTTATTTAATGTCTACTGTAATTAGTCCAGAGGTCAGAGAAGTGGACTTCGGTCACGAGAGGTCCGAGTTTGATCCTCAATTTTGCTAAGATCCACTGAGTACATGCGATATATGAGATCATATAATCTGAGGAATCGAAAGTCCTGTGAGTGATAATGGGTAAAGAGATCTGGAGAAACTTTCCTTCCCCTTCAAATCTATTTTTAAATTGAGAATATGCTCTTACGGATAAGTTGTGAAACAGTCTATCTATTGAGTTTGAGCTAAGACGTACTTTCACTTTTGTGGTGCTATCTTTTCAAACGAAAAGCTCATTTATCTGACGCTGGCGAGCTTGACTTATCCTTGTCTATTGAGTTTGAGCTAAGACGTACTTTCACTTTTGTGGTGCTCTCTTTTCAAGCAAAAAGCTCATTTTTCTGACGCTGGCGAGCTTGACTTATCCTTTGTCGTTAGAAAAAAAAAACATAATTATAGTTATAGCCTTCACTTTTTATTCATGAAGTAAATTCCTAATGACACCTAATATGAAAGGAGTTATCATCATTTAACTATTTCTAAAGAAATATTTCTGTAAAAAAATATATATATACACAGAAAAGATGACATCTCCTCTTGGAGAATATTTTGAGTCAACTGATACAGTTTTTCTACGTACAAATTAAGAAAGGCTCTAATTTCTACTTTTTTATGATTGAAGAGCATTTTGAAATTCATAATTTTTCATTTACTTTTCCTTATTTTTAAAATTTAATAATTGAATAAATCAAGTATGCTATAAAAATTCCTAATTTCAGAATTCTAAAAGCACCCACGGGAATTGAACGAAGATTCATCTATCCCATGTTTACTGATGAATTTAATCGAAAAATAAATTGAAAAATCTAATAAAATACTTCAATTTGATTTTTAGTCATATCAAAATAATAAAAATATCAAAGTATCTTTTGAAACTATTTATCAGTGTTCATGAATATACATATATAAATTGACTTAAATTGCATTGTAGTGGGCGTTTATTAGTAAGTATGTAATTACGCAATCGTATTGGATATTAAATTTAATTAATTTTAAAATATTTGTAGAAAATTTCACTGATGATTTAAATGTGTTTTTAATATTTCGAAATTAATATCAATATAATTAAGAATTATCTTTTTTCTAACATTTTTAATTAGTTTCATTCGTAAGAATCTGAGAATAAATTTGTAATATACATAGTTTTCTTTTATTACGTGAAGATAGTTTAATGAATTAAAAATTTCAATTAATATTTTAATAAATTCAAAATCTAAACATACATACGAGAGTTAATCAGAAAAATTACGCAGTTTTATGTACATTAAGCATTCTAATAGAATAATAAATTGGAAAAAAATCTTAAAAGAGTAAATTTCTTTTGCAGTTTTGCCATAATTTAGCAATAAACGTTAATTTACAGTGGTTTTTTTTAACTTTTCATTTAATTTAATATTTGTATAAATTGATTAAAAAGTACTTATATTAACTTGCATTTGATATTGATATCGCAAATGATATATTTAACATTTTTTTCACTACTAAAATGCTTGAATCACATACCGAACTTGAAATAAATAAACTTTTATTTTCTTAAAATAAGTATAATATTTACATTTTGATAAAAAAAGTGTTTGTAAGCATAAAATATTATTCCTGCAATCATCATCATATATATAAATTATTTTTTTAAGTTCTTAATAGGATTCATTTTCAGCATTTTATTAATAAATTTGTAAAATACATCAATTTCTTTTGATATGTAGAGATAATTTAATGAATCAAAGATTTCAATTAAAAATGCTAGATAATCAAAATCTAAAAAAAACCAAGAGAATTCAACCGAAAAACTAACACAGCTTATTATACATTGATCATTCTAATAGAAAAGCAAATTGGAAAAAAAAATCTAATGAGAATATATTTCATTTGAGTCTTTTAAGCATAACTAAATAATGATCCTCATTTTCCTATGATATTGGATCTAACGGTGATTTTTTGTCTCTTTTTTTTTCTTTCGCCGAAAAATAATTAAAAATATCTTCATTGCAAAAGGAGATGCCAGAAAAGCAGAGAAAAAAAAATCATTGGATAGAAAGAAAAACAGAGAAGCATCGTTATTAAAGAAAATTTTACTTAATTTTTGAAATTGAGTTGAATTTTTTTTCTCCATTTTTGGCGATGCTATTATTGCGGAAAATAATAAACTTATGCTTTTGGCTGGAGTAAAAAACCTAAAATTAAAACAAAAAAAGAGAGCACCGCTATAATGATTAAGGTTTGCTTACGGTAATGATGCAAAATAACCGTTTTAAAACGACATGGTACCGGCTGCTATTAAGTGCAAATTTTTTTTTTATCCTCAATTTAGTCTTTTTTTATAATTACTTCAGCACTAAACTAATTATTGATTTCAGTTTAATTCTGGAAAAACTATGCCTTAAACTCTTGTGAAGTAATGAGTCAGAATTCTCGTTTTTATTTTATTTCGGCTAATAGTATTTTGTTTTTGTTTTTTTGCCCTGTCGATTTTGCATTTGGGCATTAGACAATTATAACAAGGCGCATTAATTTTGAAAGACTATATCGTAGTATTTAACGCAGAGATATTGTTTCGGAATTGATGATTTCTTTTTATTACCGCATTAAGATTATTCGAGATGTTGATAAAAGTCAGAAAAGAATTGACATTTATTCGCTTTGAATAAGTGTTCATTATTTTGATGTGGATGATATCTAGTTCATTAAAACATTATTTATTAATTACTAGAATATCTTTTATTTGAAAATTTTTCTAGTATTTAAAAGTGTTCCTTTATATCGAATTGTTTTTCTATTAATGAACTACTTAAACAAACTAATCCTTAAAACCTTTGAATTTGGTAATTTTATAGTTTTGTGTATGTTGATAAAATTAACATTACTTTACATACTACGCACGTCCGGACACATACATTATAATTAAAAAATGTTAAGTAAATATGGTAAAAGCATAAGTAAATGTCATTGACCCAAAGAGGGACATTGATAATCTGTAGTGATCAAGGAGTTTCAATTGATAGTTTGGGTTCTATTTTATTCGTTAATACATTATTTTCTTAATGCAGGTTAGTACATTGTTTAAAAATGTTAGAAACACGTGTGATTCGTATAGTGAGAGCACAATATCTACTTTCTTTTCTAGATATTTCTTGTGCTTCTATATTTTTTCGATCGATCAAGAAGTAATAATAAATTAATAAATCGTATCATTATCTAATTTAAATTTCTTTTCATATGCTTTTAATAAAACACGATGCCGCGACATTTGTTTTCTTGACTTAAATGTCAGTTAGTATTGCTTACTAGAAGAATGCAATATGCTTACAAACCATTATTATGATAAACTAAATAATCATTTTCGATTTGATAAAATGTTGGTACTTAAACAGAGTTTTAAATATAGTAGTAATAAAAAACTATTAACTTTTTATTGATACCATTCTTCAGTTTATGTAAAAATATATTACAAGATCAAAATAACTGCTTTTACAGGAATCTTATTTGAGCCTGAACATGTATTTACGATTAAAATATGTGATTTTAAAAATTCATGAGATAAGCATATTTTAATGTTTTTGGTTCGCAAAATCTAAGTAGTTATAGATAAATTTAATAAATGATTAGTGTGCGAAATTAAAATTATCGAATCCATTTGTTAACAAGAAAAAAATAATAATTTTCAAACCACCATTTTTCATCTTCTTTGCATTCAGAAGCATTTATATTCATAAAAATAACAGCATAAAAAATAAAACTTACGTTATGTTAATATCTATTTCTTCTGTTTTGTTGCCAACGTCGTAAGAACAATGAATTCCGATTGCTTTGTCCATCGCTGTAACAACATGATCGTTGCTTTGGATCACTAGAACATTTGAGAATTTGCCTTCTTCCTAGAATCAAATTATTGGTACTTTATAAATATCGGTACTTTATAAATATTTATATTTCATAAATATTGGTGCTTTATAAGTTTAATTTTTAAAAAAAATTCTCTCAGAAGGTAAGAAACGTGTGACAAGGCATAAATTTTTTTCGCAGAGTTCCTACTTATAGTACAACATTGTTCCAATAGATGGCGATGTAAATTTCTTTAATCTTACCTTCGATTGTGCTTTGTTAAAATTTAATAAAAAATTCATTCCACGATTACAAAATGTGACTGTATCTAATAGCAAATGATTTTAAGATTTATATCCATTGAATAAACATGAAAAACAAAATCGGGGATAATTATATATGCTTTTTTTTGATTTGTGATTTGTGCAGTGCTATCTATTGAAAAAGATGTTCTAGGATTAAAAAAAATACACTATGTCTCTAGAATTTACTTCTCTTTTTAAAAAATTTCCATTTATTAATGTTTAAAAAATTTTGTCTTATTTAAAACATCCTGCATTTATAAAGATAATCTATAGACTCACTTTACTCAATTTTTTTCCCCGCACAATTCGTTAAACGTGAACAGTTATACGTTTATACGTTATTTAATTTTTATGAATAAACTAATTTTATAAGGCCATAAATATGATGACTTAGAATAAATTACTTTAAACTAAAAAGTATGTGACATTTTTGCAAGTCAAAGATCATTTAAAATTGGTATAAATTAATTGTAACCAAAAAAAGAAACTCATATAAGAAGTAACAAAAACAATAAAAATAAAATATTTATCAAATGTAACCTAAAAATATATTAATATATATTCTAAAAATATAATGACTGCGGACCTAAAATATATTAATCATTAAAATTCAAAACATTTTAAAATATATGTGACTTGTTTAGAATATTTTTACTATCATAACAAAAAAAAAAATAATATTTCCATAATTAATCCTTATTTAAATCATCTCAAGCTTAATTAATAGTAATTTATGGCTGCAGGGTAGAAATTAAATGACAGTTTTAAGACCATAAACTAAACAAAAGAAATAGTTTTTAATTTCATAAATGAACTTAAATTATTCAAATTATATACGAGAAAAAGTTATTCCCCTAAACAAAAGAAAGAATTGAATTTCTAAGATTCCGAAAGTACAACTATACCAGGTTGAGGAATTCAGAGAAACAAAAAACCCTAATATAATTTCAAAGAATTTTTTTTTTCTATTTACTTTCCCTGGAGAACCCATATCTTGGTTTAATTCAATTTCCCGAGGAATGTTTTACTAAAAACAAATTTAGCATGCACAGTAAAATACAAAATACTTTATTATTTTAAAATTTTTGAAAAGACTCAGTGTTTCTAAATGACTTTTTGCATTCTTATTCAAAAGTAAATTACTTGCCACACATTTAAATGAAAATTTACGTCTTTTCAGAGACATTACATGTTTTCTTTTTTCTGCTAGCTTTTGGCTTTCTGCTACTGTAAAATAATTTCTTTCCCCACAAGAGACAAATGTTTACGCATTGCAGAGAGATTTTGAAACTGGTTTTGTAATAAAAATTGCACTTAGATGTATTTTGGACATTTTGGGAACTCCGGAATATCCTGCCTATTAAAGTACATGGACTGTCTTAGAATATTCAGACTTTAAAATGAGAAATGTTTCCTTAAATGCATACAATATGTTGTAACGTATATAGAAAGACTTATATTTCATGTAAGTTAAGGTTTTTAAATATTTCGCGGTATATTACGATACGCATGCAAGCAACTTAAATGTTCGTCCACTATGGATGCTTTAATAGTGTAACTCATTTGCTTAAAGTTATATTTTTAGGAATTATTGTAAAAATAGCAAGGAAAAGCTTCCTGAGTTCATTATTTAAATAGGCTGCGCAGAGTAAATGGAACTGTGAGGGGAAAAAAAATCTGGTAAAATTAATAGTCGTGTATGGTTATGACATTCCTGGTACAAAATAATAAAAAGAAAACACAATTCTGGGTAATAAAGCCTATATATACGGTATTTAAATTCTGGCTTTCAAAATTATCGTTTTAATTACTGCACATTTAATAAAAAATACAAAAGTGAAACGTAAATTTAATTGAATAATTGTTTTTTTTTACCACTGTCAAAAGAATCACGATAAAATCACCTAATTTTGCCATATTTCTTGAATTTTATCACATATTTTAATCCTATATTTTACGGTTAATTTAACCAAATCAATTATCAAATCGCTTTGGTAAAAATTATTGAACCTTTTGGTATCTGCATAGAGTCAGAAACACGGTAAATTTAACCATATTTTGGTAGATTTGTCACTACTTTTTTTCTCAGTGTAACTCTAAGAGTCATTTTTAAATCTATATCAAAGAAAACAATTTATGTATATTCTTATTATTCTAATATTTTCTAATAACCGAATAAATGGTTTTCATGCCATGCTCTAAAGCATCATGATAAAATTAGCGAAGTTCCCCACATTTATCAAATTTTATCAATTATTTTAAAGATATATTTTATTGTTTGTTTTACTAAAATTATTCCGAAAGTGCTTCAGTAGAAATTACCGAAAGTTTTGGTGTTCCTATAGGGCCATAACCAGGGTAAATATTATGATATTCTGGTAGTTTAGACAAGACTTTTTCTTCATGTGATTTGTACATTGTTTTTTTATTGAAAAGCTTGTAAAGTAAAGAAAAACAAAAAATCATGCAAATATATTTCGACTTCAATTGTGTACTACGTAATTGTCATAGGCACAGAAGTAACTTTAATGTTTCGCAACTTTACTTTACATAATAAAACACATTACGGTTTCAGTTAGTTTTGAATAGTAAAAATACTTCATAAACGAAACATCCTCCTTGCTCCATTAAGCAATATTACTCAGCTCAGATTACTTTAGCAAATTGATCTTGAAATATTTTTTGTATCAAACATTTTGTCAACTCATAATAAGCAAGCGAGCAATTTTAAAATTTGACAACGATAAAATTTTTGATTATAAAACACACTTCAATTAAAGTTATATTTAAAGGTTTTTCATGAGAAGTACCAGCACTTTCTGGGAGAAAAAGCATTTGCAGTTTATTATACAAATATGTAACATAGAAGACTTAATGGAACTGTTTTGAGCATTAGTCAAATGTTTTGAAAAAAGCGTGTAAAGTGAAGAAAAATCAAAATCTTAGCAAATATATCATAACATCTATTTATTATCATCTTAGTATAGTCATACAATTAGCTTCAACTTTTCAGCTATAAACATATTAGTAAAAAAATTAAAGATTAATTAATTAAACTGATAAATAAAGTATGTTTAAATTGAGGAAGATAGTTTTAAATAGTAAAACTAAATAATTGTTAAGTTTTATTGAGTTTCATTTAAAGGTTTTTAAGCTATTTTATTTTTAATTGTAATTAGATTTCACTAGGAATAAGGAGTTACATAAATTTAAAGAGATTTTCCTTCGCACAGAAAGTATCATTGCACTTATTCTTTGTCTCAAACAGAATATTGAAACAAAATAAAGTAGTCAATTAAAATTATCTATACTATTGAAAAAATAGAAGAAGCAACAAAAATAATAAGACAGATAAACAATGAGAAACGAAATACTTTTTTTTAATTAATAGATATAAAATTAATTAATAGAAAGAAACACTTGCTTTCATTTCAGCAATACTAATGAGTATAATTATTTTTACAGCTTCTATTTGAAGTTTGAATGGTTCAAATACCCTTTCTATTTCCTTCTCTAAATTAATAGCAGCTGCAAAAATTAATCTTACACTTTTAAATATTCATTTAAAGTATACTTCTATGATGACTAATTAAAGGAATAAATAAGATGAATAAAACAGCACAAACAAACACATTTCAATTTGAATATAAAGCAGGGTTAAAACATAAAATTATATGGTTGTAAATTTAGTTATATTTAATTGTAGAGTTAAATTAGTGTGAAAGTTTTTCATAGTTTTACAAAATAAACTAAATCAATTGTATTTTAAGCGTACATTATTAATTTTGAACTTTTATTGTAATAGTTTTAATTGTAAAATCATTAAGACTATGAAGTTGAAAAAAAAGCTTTTTTCTTACCGAGGAAGCTATAATTGTATTTCATCATGAATAAAATATTCAAAATAAAATATCTATACTATTGAAAAATAAATTAAGAAACAAAAATATTAAAACATATGAACAATCAGCAAAGGAAAACTTCTTTTGTTTAAAAATAATTAATAGAAATAATACACTTGCTTGCATTGCAGTAATACTGATGAGTATAATTATTTTTACTGTTTTTATGTAAAGTCTGAATTGATCAAATTCCCTTTTTGTTTTCTTCTCATGAGCAGCTAAAATTAATTTTACAGTTTTAAAAATTATACTTCTATGCTGATTAATAAAATAAATAAACGAATAGATGTAGATAGCACAAACACGCACGTTTCAATTTTAATTTAAAACTGTATTAAAACGTAAAATTATGTGGCAATGAATCTAATAAATTTAAATGAGAAGTCAATTTATTGTAAAATAATTTTATAGTTTCACAAAATAAAACTAAAAATTATTGTAATTTAAATTTACATTAGAATTGTTAACTTAAAGTGTAATAGTTTTAACTATAAGACAGTAAAGTCTATAAATTGAAAGGAAAAAAAAAACTTTGTACGAAAGTTATAATTGTATTTCATCGCTTTTTAAACAGAATATTCAGAATCAACAAAAAAAACGAAAAAAAACTATAAAAAGACGAACAAAGATCATAAAAAAACCTTTTTGTTTAAAATTAATTAACAGAAATAAACACTTGCTTTTATTTCAGCAATATTAATGATCTGCCCTTTACGACTCAACTTTAAAACACGTGTTTCTTATTCTTCTTATATTCTCTCCACACTTTTTTAATTAATAGCAGCTGCAAAAATTAATCTTACAGTTTTTAAAAGCACCTTTAAAATTATACTGCTATGCCGTGTA